AAGGAAGGATGGGAAAATCTTTGTGGCAGTGGGTTCTATAGCCTGCCCATACTCCATTGCCATTAGCCTTCTGTGCACTGTCTCAGATGTGACACTTCCAGAAATCAAGTTTCATGCTGTATAGGTAAGATGACCATATGGGATAATATGAAATCTGGGACACTAACACCCCAGCCCCACTGCAGGCTGCAGGGAGTCAATGATCTGTTAATGACCTATTGTTCTTTACTTCACAGGTGATTGTTAACAATTAAAATTAGTCATTTACCAGTTAAGTAATTAATTAACTACTTAACAATTAGTGTTAATGGCCATGCCACTAATCAAGCTAACCTATTTTAGGGCAATTTTCCTGTCTTCTACAGCTTCCTATTACACAGCTCCTGCTGCTCTGCTTCTGTGCCCTGCAGCCTGTGCCCAGGATGCTTGTTTTCATTTTCACTGGCCTTCTGAGACTGACCTCCAAAATCTGGGACTGTCCTGGCCAAACCAGAAGGTATGGTCACCCTATGTATGGGAATGTAAACCAAGTATATCTCTCCCCTAGCTTCACCCAACTTTTTTGTAGGATGACTACATTGCTTCTGCTATCAGAGAATCCCCCATTGCTGCATTCCCCTGATAAATTAATGTTGCAGTGGCATCCACTGCAGAGAAATGTTGGGTTTCATTTTATTTTAATGAGTGATATGTATTTTTATTATTTCAGTACACTATGACCCCAATTATCCAATCAGAATTGAGGCCCAACATTCAAGGCACTATAAAATCATATATGGACCATGACTCCTCCCTTCCCCCCTCCCCACCACCCTGGAACTTGCCATATAAAACTTGACTATATTCTTTGAATAAGCCATTGAGATCTTCTTTTTGGCAATCACTTTACTTTCCTTTTTAAATTGGGTTTGGGTCATTTCCCCTTACACAAACTTTTCTAGCTCAAGGTAGTAGCTGACTGGCATCTAGAGGTCTAATCAGAGGTAAAAGAGCCCAATATACAACTAATGTCAGTGAGAAGAGAGTCAGAACCAAAATCTTGCCTGCTTAAAACACACTCATTTTTGCAGTTTTATTCCTCTTTTGAATTTCTTCTATTTGTAAATAGGTAACTAACTAGTAACTAGCTATTAACTATTTGTATCTTTAGCTAGCTATTAACTATTATTAATTCCAATCATCTCCCAGCCTCCACTCCACAATCATGGAGCTGGGGCTGGGAGATAAGAATTTCTCAGCCCCTGCTTCACCATTGTGATTGCAAAGCAGGGTCTGGGAGCTTCCTGCTGCTGGGGCAGGGGGACATTGTTTCTGCCTGGGCTCCAGTGACAGAACCCAATCTGTCAGAAGGCAGCTTCTGGGGGTAGCAATCTCCCAGCCCCTGCCAGGAGACAGTTATTTCCTGGCCCCATGCTCCTTGCCATCCCCTGGGTTAGCACCTAGGGGAAGCCTACAGCTCCCCCTGGCCATTGCAGGGGGCCAGTGCAGGGCCACCAGGGCCAGGAGCAGACTGCTGCCATGAGCAGCAAATCTGCTCCTGCTTCTTCACATGTGTAGATGCCTACCCAGGATGGGCTTATACTAGAGTAAGTTACTCTGCAGTGATCCACCCTGGAGCATTTGCACAGGCAGATGTACCCATGGGGTCAATCTTTCTGGTTCAATGAATATTTCATTATTTAAATAAAGGGGAAGAGCTTTAACAGCAGAAATAAGACAGACTCAACTTAGAAGATTCATTAGCTTTGTTGTCAGGATGTTTGCTCGGGCTATGGGAGGGGTGTCATATGGTAGCAGTGGAATGAACAACAGTGGCACTGGAGTTACCATTGAAATGACCTGTTATGTGATATATCTATAGAGTGTGTGTGTGTGTGTGTGTGTGGGCTACTGAAGATGAAGGGAAGACTGGATTGTTCCTAAAATAGATTACGAAAAATTCAGAAAGCAATGTCAGCAGAAGCATTTCAGTGTTACAAAATTTTCCATGAGGCAGCAGTGAGTCTTTGACCTCAACTTGAAACATATTATTTTTCTTTTTCCTCTATATTTTAGTCACAGACTGACAGTGTATGTTCATTTCAGCATCATCTGTGCCATAACAATAAGGTAGGAGCTCTTGTGTGACAGTGCCAGATCAATCACACCTTGAAACTACAAATAATTACATATATACCTTCTTCCTTGGTGGCCTATAAGTGACATTTTGGGTTCATTTCACTGCAGTTCCCAACATAAGGTTCAAGGTAGAAGAAAGTACTAAAAATTAAACTTTTTTCATATTACATTTTTCTTAAACAACCTGCTTCTAAAAAAAATGAACAAAACAAATATGCCCATTGCTCAAAAGGTCTGTAAAAATTTAAGCTCCCTCAAATTAGAAGCAACTCCTTGCAAAATACTATATTGATGCCACACTACGGTCATTGTCTTTGGTTTTAATTAGTCAAATCAGAAAATTTAAAGTTAAGATCTCCCCAGTGGGCATAACTCCTTTCTCACACACACATATCTTATAACCGGAATTTTCATTACATTAGCACAAGTTATATGCAACAGTAGAAAATGCTACCTATACATGTGATTCAGTAGTAAGAATAACGGGAGGATTTCAGGCTGCAGTGGACATGTGAGTCTGTTAGCTACCCAGTTAAGGGATGTTAGTACAAGCTGTAGCAGTTCATACTTTTAACTCTGAAGGTCCCCAGTTCAGTCTAAAATGATAGCCATGATGTGCCTTTATGTTAACATAACAAATTACACTACCTTTCCATTACACTGTATCCACTGGCTGGAAATTGAAGCTAGACAAGTTCAGATTTGAGCTAAATTGCGTTTTTTTTCACAATGATGGTAATTAATCATTGGAACAACTCACTAAGAGTTGTGGCGGATTTTCTACCACTAGCAGTTCTTAAATCAAGATTGGATGCTTTTAAAAAAGATACACTCTAGTTTAAATGGAAATTAATCCAGGAAAGTCTTACGGCCTGTGTTATACTGGAGGTCGGACTAGATAATTACAGTGATCTCTTCTGACCTTATAATTTATAAATCTATTATGTACCAAGCAATAACACCACGTTCCCAGAGAAGCTGATGACCAAGCTCATGATGGGATCCTTATGCTATTCTGCATTGCAGTGAATAGTACATTTATGAATCACTTCTTGAAGAAGAGGTCTGGCTGGGTTTCATTTTGGCTTTATTTGGTTTTCGTTTAATTTAAAATTTGCTAAAATAAGACTATCCCACTTGATTATGCCTTTTGTCCCATGACTTCCTGGTTGCAAGTGAAGTCACCTAGTTTTAATGAGCATCTGAATTATCCTCCTGCTGCTGCATCTAGTGGCTGGTTATTTGAATGTTGTTGATGCTGGAGTGAGATCTTACAGTGGTAGAGAAGCTTGCATGTCCCTATGATCCTCAGAGCTATGTTGTCTAGAGTCTTGCACTTCTTGCAGCATCATCCACGGTGAACAGGCCTGAGGGGTGATTCCAGACAAACCACAGTCCAAACCCAAATCCTCAACATCAGTTCAGACAGAAGATGATGTCAGGATCTCAAAGGCTGTAAAGATGGAAGAAGGTTGCAGCAAGATGTAGGTCGCCTGTCATCTAGGATTTTCCCTTGCCACTGGGTCTAGATTTTCACCTTGCTATGATGTACGGTGGTTGTTCCCATGCACCAGCTTCCTCACACTAAACAAAGTCACATGCAGGCTTCTACCACAGGAGACAATAGTCTCCTGTATCAACCTGCAAAAGCCCCATGGAGCTGAGCCAGTAGTGATGGAGATGAGACCAGTGAGTCCAGCAGTTTCCAGCCATGAATCTGCATGCAGGAGGTGGTATCTTGATGGTTGTCTTGCACCTGGGTTGAGACAGGAGTGTAATTCGGCACCTACTAACAGTCCTATTCAGAATTCCTTCTCCTCATCCTACATGGGGAAGAGGCTAGATAAGGTGCCCTAAACCTAGGCTGTTTTATCTGTTCCCAGCTGGATAATCACATCTAGCAAGATTACACTCTCTGCAGTCAAACATTATAAGCAGACAATGATTTTTGCAATGTGGAATGTTCACACCTTGATGGACAACCACAACAACAAATGGCCAGGAAGAAGAACAGCCATCATCTCCAGGGAACTAGTAAGGAACAACATCAACATCACAGTTCTGAGTGAGATGAGATGACTGGACAAGGGTCAGCTGAGGGAAGATGGTGGAAGCTACACATTCCTCTGAAAAGGGAAGCTGGCCCAGGACAGATGTGTTCATAGTGTCAGTTCAGCCATCACAAATCAACTCATTATTCAACTTAAAGAAATACCTGTGGGCATCAGTGTCTTATGACCCCCCCGTCTCAAGTTTATCAGTGTTTTCATTGATCCCTGACACTCAATGCTGCTGAGGATGTCAAAGAACAAATCTGCTCCAACCTTGACCGTGTTCTGACTAATACTCTCAAGACAGACAAGACCATATTTCTTGATGACTTTGATGCCAGAGTGAATGCAATGTGGAACTCTGGAGTGACAACATTGGGAAGGAAGGAGTAGGGAAAGCCAACTCTGATGGCATCCTTCTCCTGGGCAAATGGGCAGAGCATGGTTTTGTCATTACAAACACCATCTTCAGACAGCATACTTAGAGATAACCCCTGCTCTAAGCACTGGCACCTCTTTGATTATATTATTGGTACAGCCTGTGATCCAATGTGTGTCCATATCACATGAGCCATGTGAGGAACTTATGACTGCTGGACAGATCACTGCCGCCTTACATCCATTATGAACATCCAGCTTGCTCCAAACCACCAAAAACAGCCAGAAGCAATGTGAAGATTTTGCAATATCAAATCTCTCCAAGACACAAAAGTCTGTAAAGATCTGCAACAGTGTCTTCAGGAAAAGCTCTCTGCCCTGCCCACAAATGGGGACTACATTGAGGGACTCTCATAGGGGTTTAAAACTGCTGCTCATATGGCTTGTGCTGAATCCATTGGCTATACCACCCACCAACACCAAGACTGGTTCAATAAGGGTGTCATTGAGATCCGAGCCCTCCTCAACCAGAAGAGAAGGGCTCATTCTGCCTGGCAAGTTGACAACTCATTGCAGCAGAAGAAAGAGACGTATCAGTTTCTGAAAGTCGAAGTTCAAAAGAGGATCCAGGAAATCAAAAACCAGTGTGGCAAGATAAAGTCAAGGAGATTCAGCTCTATGCTGACAAATATGACATGCATAGTTTCTTCCAAGCAACAAAAACCATTTAAGGTGCAACCTCCCAAGTTCCTACTTTCCTTCAAACACAGAATGGTTCAGTGCTCCTCCAAGACAATGAATCTATCCAAGCTAGGTGGAAAGAGAACTTCGAGGCTTTGTGATGGATGCCACCACTGAGTCTGTCCCCTAACACTGCAAGAGGGGATCCCTTGTTAACCGTTTTATTCTAGAAATCTGGCATGCCATCAAGTAAACCAAGACCAATAAGGCTATTAGAGCAGACGCCATAGCTGCTGAAATCTTCAAAGCTGGTGATGAGAAACTGGTAGTGAGATTTCACAAATTTTACAAATTTATTCTTTGAATTCAAAACAATGAAGCAAACCCTGGGGACCTGAGAAATACCAGTATCATGACTATCTTCAAGAAAGGAGATAAGTCGGTGTGTGGGAACTATCAAGGTATCACACTACTTTCCACAGCACGGAAAGTCTTCACCTGTATCCTCCTGAACCATCTTCTACCTCTTGCTAAGAAAAAGTCCTGCCAGAATCCAAATGTGGCTTCAGACCATCACACGAGCAATCGACATGATATTTGTTGTCCTCCAAGTCAAAGAAAAGTGTCAGGAACATCAGAACCTGTGTATGGCTTTCATTGACTTCACTAAGGCCTTTGACTACATCAGTCATGAAGCCATGTGAAAAGTACTAACCAGATTTGGATGCCCTGGAAAATACATCAAGGTCCTAAGATTTCTCCAAGGCCAGATGACGATGTGTCATAGCAGGGTACTCCCCGCTGACCCTTATTGCGGTCACGAGACCCCCAGTGGCAATCTCATCCCCCCACCCACAAGGATGGGATGAAGCTGAAGACACTCCCTCCAAGAGCAAAAATTTACCTGAAGAAATGCCAGTGGCATGGTCTGGGGAATTCCTGGCACCACAGCCACCATGATTTATTAGCTTGCGCTGGATCTGGATTGGCCAGTGTGCAGCTGAACACATCATAAAGACATGCCACATGCTGGCTGGGGGGAGAGAGGCAGAGGCCAAGGAGCATGGCTGCAGGACAGCCAACCCTCACTGCAGCCTGCCCCACCAGGGGCAAAAGGGGAAGAGTGACATTTGCTCTTCTGACTTGAGGCTTGCTATTGTGGGACCAGCTGCATAGCACCTAGGAATCATTGGCATAGAGCAGAAGTGCTGAGAGATGACAGGTGCTTTGCTAGATGAATCAAGGCAATGAACTGTGAGTCCGTTCTTTTGGGTGTGGGCCCTGAGAGGTGCATCAGCAGGGCGGCAGAGTGACACCTGACAGGTAAAAGTAAGAATTGAAGGGACTAGCCCTGGTGGGCATAACTGTGAAAGCCTGCTGAACTATATCAAAGTCAGTTACTGATTTTTCAGGAAAAAGTAGACCAATTGTGAAGACAGGGCCATCTCACCACCTGATGGCACTCTATCTGATTAGACTATAAGACCGGGTTGGTATAAGGAAGGGGAGTAAGGGGAGGTAGAGCCCCAAGGAGCAACGTGACACTTGCAGGAGCAGGTGGACACCATTAAGGATCCTCCTTTTTTATTTCAAGATCAAGACATGGTGGGTGAGACAGAGGGTGTGCCCTGTTAACATGAGCGAGTCAGGTCAAGCTATCAGACTCTAAGAGCTGGTGCTTGGAAGATTGGACCCTTAAACCTCAGCAGCACACCCAGATGAGGCATGGCTGCCTACACTATGAGTATTCTTTGTAGCAGATCACAGACAGATCAATTTGTCATCTGAACTGGAGTCAAGCAAGAATGTGTCATCACCCCAATTCTGTTCCTCATTTTTTTTGACTGTCATCCTGGTTCTCATGAAGGACCTTCTCCCTTCTAGAATAGGCTTTGAATACTGAACAGCTGGAGGGCTCTTCAATCTGGAATGTTTTCACTTGAAAACTAAAGTACTCAAACCAACCATCTTTGACCTTCAATATGCTGATGACTGCACCATCCTCACATATACTGAAGAAAAACTCCTGTTTGCAGAAGCCTAATGAACTTTGGACCTCTCTCTCAACATCAGGAAGACAGAAATGCACTGTCAGTCTTCCTAGGCCATGAATGTGGCCCCCCTCCTCTAAATATCATTGAGGGAAAGATCCTGGAGGTAGTTGAGCACTTTACTTACCTCAGTAGATGCCTTTCTCAGAAAATGAGCATTGATGAGGAGATCCAGTAGAGGATCCAGTGCACAAGCATCTCTTTCAGGAAATTGCTTTGTCATTTTTTTTTTAATCACAAGCTCTGGAAAGGCATCAAGATCCAGGTGTATAATGCAGTCATCATCCCCACTTTCCCTTATGGATGTGAAATGTGGGTAGCTTACTGTTGTCATCTCAAGAGGCTCGAGAGGTATCACGCTGCCCCCAGAAAATCCTCTACACCACTGCACAAATGTCAGCATCCTTGCCAGTGTTACCAGCATTGAGTCGGTGATCCTCAAACACCAACTTTGTTGGACTGGACATTTTGTGCAGATGCTCAACTCTCAACTTCTAAAACAAGTGCTCTCTTCCTGGCTTAGCTGCAGCCTGAGATCTTGCAGTGGCGAAAAGAAATGTGATAGGGACACATCAAAGGATATATCAAGCCATACATCAAGAAAATGTACACCAACATCAAAATCTGGGAGGAGCTGGCTGCTAACTGACTCCAATGGCACTGCAGCCTCAGTCAAGTGGCAGCCCACTTTGAGGTATAGCATCTTGCCCTAGAAGCAGAGAAGAGAGAACAGAGGAAGGAAAAGGAGGGAAATCCTAGTCTATGGCCTATTCTCCCCCCATGGAAAGACCTGAAACCTCTGTGGATGGGTCTGTGGCTCAAGGATTGGACTCTTAAGTCACCTCAAGACCCACCAATGAACTGTGGTAGAGAACATTTTTTAATTCAGGGATTGCCAACAATGGTGCAGTCTCTTAAAGGAGACAAGCAGGGGATAGAGCATTGTGGACAGATACTCTCTACTTAAATACGCTTCCCCTTAGTATCTGCTCTCTGCCACTGTGAGAGACCAGGCACTGGCCTAGATGTACCAGTGGGGTGACCCAGTTCTTCTATTGAAGGCAGAAGTGTTAAGGAGGATCTCTGTTAAGCTATTTCATTCCCTCCAGCTCTTCCCTTCTAATTCAAGCACAGCTCTTGCTACATAAAGCCATCATTCAGTTAGCAGGGAAGGGCTTTCACTGAAATCCCCAGAGATACAATGTGCCCCCTCCCCTCAACTTATTTGAGGTGGCTGAGTATGGGACAGGGCACAAATAGGTCTTACCCATCAGCAGACCTGTGGGAACAGAGACAGTAAAGAAAAGAAAACCGAGGTCCATGTACTAGCCTTTTTGTGTCCCTTTTTACCTGTCAAAAATATTCCACCCGCCCTTTCCTGGTTCCATCCACTGGAATAGGGTTTAATAAGTAGACAGACACTGCCAAATCTTTGAGGCCCCTAGAGGTATGCAGGACAATTTTTATTCCTTCTATAGACCTTAAGCTCTTCATGTGATTAGCCACAAAGAATTCAGAATCAAAAGATTATATTGATAGTGTTAATCATTTGAATCTGTTTTGTGTGTGCCCTTGATACTGTAAAAGCAAACCACTCTGTTCTGCCAGGCATTAAAATGCTAAATGTGCAAGGGTCATTAAATCCAGCAGCAATGTTTAATCAGGAACCATATGGGAACAGCACAAAGTCCCTCCGTTATCATGCATGATTAATTTTTTAATAAGAGTCGTCAAGATGGCAGCCTGAAGAATGCATCGTGCTTATGTACGGCTATGCAGTGGACCTTGATAATTCACAGTCGGTATTTGCAATGTTGGCATCTGCATGAGCAACCTAGAGAAAACAACATCTTAACATCACTTTAAGTATTTTCCTCACTTAGCAGGGGAGAGAAGTGGAAGCTTTGATGCAATCCAGAACAGGGCTAAGGGGAAGCTGCAGGATTTGTCACTTGCATAATCCAAGATAATAATGTTTGTAATGGGTTTTCTTTATTGCCTTCAGGTTTCCTCTACAGGAGCTGTATCACTCAGTAGCTGATGTCGCACATGTTCCTCCGCCTACTGATGAGGAGCAGGTGCTGGGAGATGCTTATTGATCGTGATGGCGGGTCTAGCTTGTTAACGCTATCTTGACTGTTAAGGAGGTTGGAGTGGCCTCTAAGGGTAGAGTCTAGAGGTGAGATCAGGCAAGGGAGGCATAATAATCAAGCCCAGGTGAAAGGCTTCAGTGGGAGTCATAGTTTCATAGTTTCATAGTTTCTAGGGTCGGA